CAAAATCAGTTTAGTCTCTGCAACTGTACAGTCCGTAGTTATACCCAGTAAAAACAACTGTGGAGTAAATTTCAGTCTTTTTTTAAAAATATTCTGCATCACCCACCAAATCTTTATCCAAAATGCTTTGATTTTTCTACAAGTCCACCATATATGATAATAAGTTGCATCATCACAGTCACATCTCCAACATTTAGCTTGCACATTAGGATGCATACATGATAATTTTTTGGGATCTAAGTGCCATCTATAAAACATTTTATAAAAGTTTTCTCTTAAATTTTGTGCTTGTGTAAATTTCACATTTCTAGTCCAAATCTTTTCCCAAGTCTCCATCATTACTGGCTCTTGAAAATTTTGTGCCCATTTAATCATGCAATCTTTAACCAATTCCGTCTCAGAGTCTATTTCCAATAAAGCATTATACAACCTTTTAATATGCATTTGTTTTTGATCTCTAATTTGTTTTACCAAATTCTCCTCATTTTGCACGAAGCCAGTTTTTTGATCTTCCTTCCATCTAGCTTGAAGTTGACCGTACTGAAACCATGTATAAATTATACCTTCTTCTCTCAATGTATCTAAAGGTTTCAAATACATTACCCCCCTTTCCATAATAAGAAGCTCTTTATAGGTAATCACCTCCTGTTTTTGTTCTATACTTATATTTTCTATTGCATGTCTAGGATTTGCCCATACAGGTATCTTATAATTTAACTTATATTGATATTTTTTCCAAACCCTCAACAAAGCATTTCTAAGTATATGGGCCTTAAATACTTTATCCACTTTTTTGTCATATAACAAATAGGCATGCCATCCATATAACAAATCATAACCTTCTAGATTCAAAATTCTCCCCTCAGTTAAGTTAAACCAGTCACTAATTTGTGATAAGACCGCTGCTTCGTAATATAATCTTAAATTAGGCATTTTGAGACCCCCTCTTAATGGTACAGTATATCCACAAAATCCAGTTCTTGTAATCATCCCAGAAGACAGTGGCAGCATTATTCTTGTATTCTCTTTTTAAATTAACTTTACCTGATTACTTAGTTCTCTTGGCACTATACACTGGGGAAATAATATCATGGACTAAAAAATAAAGCCAAGGTAAATCATTACAATAACAAAAAGCTATCCAAAGAAAGATGTTTTCAAGACTTTTTGAAAGCAAATAAATGATTAGCACCCTGAACTGTGCTGGGGGGACTTTAGGAAAAACTGGAGCAGCTATAGAGAAGGTTTAATCCCAACCTGGCATGAGACAGACCTGCAGAAACTGTTGGCAGAGCTATCCAATGATGTCAAAGTGCAGGGAATAACATTTTCTAACATACTGTAAATCTGATCCAAGCATTATGAAGCTTTAAAAAAAATAACCAGAGCTTTGAACCTTTCTAGAAACAAAAGGGTGCATGAAATCTTCAATAAAGAATAAGTTGATCTCTTTGAGAAGAGATCAGCTTGACTGCTGTATTTTAATAGAGGTTCCTAGAGATGTTTCTAGTGCAAACACAAAGATAGCTGTATGAAATGCATCATGAAATCAAACTGAGACAAGTATTTGCATGCAAGGATTTAGGTGATTTTCTTCATAGAAAGGTTGCAATTGGTTCATTGATAATATTGCTAGAAAGTGCTCCTGACTTTCACTTCAATTTATGAAGCCATCCAAACGTCTGGTTTCAGAAGCACCCAGAAACTGCATAGATCTACTACTAGATCTAGTGGCAGATCTACCACTTTCTGGAATAGTCATTACTCACAATGTGCACTTCAGGTTTTCTGGATTCAGCCTCAATTTATTATCCCTCATCCAACATGTTATCCTCTGCAAGCAGGAGAAAACATTATTACCTGGAGATATTATAAAGAAATAGATTTGGGAGTCATCAGCATAGTGATGACCTAATTTCAAATCTATTTTACTTCTTGATAAGATAGAAAAACATGAGATAGATAGCATCACCATCAGATGGATTTGTAACTGGCTGACAAACCGTACTCAATGAGTAGTCCTTAATGGTACTATGTCTACATGGAGGGGTATCATAAGGTTCCATCTTAGGCCCAGTATATCGATATAAGGATATCTGCAAGAGAGACCTAAAGGCCCTGGGAATGGACATTAACAACTGGGAAACCTTGACCTCCAGTCTAGAATAGTGCATCCAGTTTTGGTCACTACACTATAAAAAAGATGTTGAGACTCTAGAAAAAGTGCAGAGAAAAGCAACCAAGATGATTAGGGGATTGGAGGCTAAAACATATGATGAACAGTTGGAAGTACTTTGCATGGCTAGTCTAGTCTAGTCTAAGAAGCTAGTCTAGTCTAAGAGAAGGATGAGAGGAAACATGATAGCAATCTTCCAATATTTGAGGGGCTGCCACAGAGAGGAGGGGGTCAAGCTATTTTCCAAAGCACCTGAAGGCCAGACAAGGAATAATGGATGGAAACTGATCAAGGAGAGATTCAACCTAGAAATAAGGAGAAATTTTCTGACAGTGAGAACAATCAACCAATGGAATAGCTTGCCTTCAGAAGTTGTGGAAGCTTCATCACTGGAAGCTTTCAAGAAGAGACTGGACTGCCATTTGTCAGAAATGGTGTAGGGTCTCCTGCTTGGGTAGGGGGTTGGACTAGAAGATCTACAAAGTCCCTTACAACTCTGTTAATCTGTTAAAATCTGTTAAATCTGCTCCACCCCACCCCCAGAACTCCATGTACTGGAGACAGAATGGAGCCTCAGAAGACATCATTAAAAAAAAAAAAAAAAAACACCTTTTGCAAATACATTGACCACCAGGGGGCAGTATGTGTCCAATTCTGTATAGGAATTGGGCAGCAAGCTGTCCAGATGAAATAGGAGACACTAACACAAACTTGTAGTTTCTATATAAATACATATATTTAACATTTATATTTATAGCAGACAAGATAGTTAGAAAAACAAGAATATCATGAGGAAATCAAAGAGCATACAATCACAGAGAAGAAAGAAAAGGGGGGGGGAACTCTCCACAAAAACCAAATATAATGTAGATAGCCTCATGCAAGAGCCAGCACTCTCCAATCAATCAATTACAACTGTGTGCTCTGGCTACTGTACACTTAATTGTTCTAGCTACTAAATTAAATATCCTAACACCCCTCCAGGTTATAACTGGACAGCATTTAAACTAAGCTTATAAGATCCTTGTGTTTTTGTATACTTAATGGCTTTGGCATGAGGTCAGCTAAATTATTTTCTGATGGACAATAAATTAAGTCTATTACATTTTCTTTCACTGCTTCTCTAATATTACAATGTTTTATGTCAACTTGCTTCTTGCTTCTGGTTTTTAATTCTCTTACCTGTTGCCATTTATATATATATGTTGTGTTAGCTTCGAATGCTGGCATAGCTGCTTTCACTTCAATATCCAAATCCTTTAACAATTGTATATACCATGTTATCTCTGAGCCCAACTCTCACAACACTATGAATTCTGCTTCAGCAGTGAAAATGTCAACTGAAGTCTGTTTTCTAGATTTCCAGCCAGCCAGTGTATTTGCAAACATTATAATAAATCTTGACATTGACTTTCTATCTTGTACATCATTAGCCCAATCACTGTCTACAAAACATTTCAATTCCAATTCACTTGATGGTTGTAAATGCAATCCTAAATCCATGGTTCCCATTAAATAAAGTAGTATTCTTTTAATTCCTAACAAGTGTTGTTTTACAGGCTTTGATGTGTGTTGCGGGGGTGGGTTCTACTTACCTTTACTACCAGTTTGCATGGTGCCAGCGCATGCACAGATCACTTCTGATGACATCCGGGTCAGTAGACGGAGCTTCCCACCAGTTTTACTACTGGTTCTTGAGAACCAGTCCGAACTGGGGGCAACCCACCACTGATGTGTTGGCTTAAAATGTTGACTGAATTGGCAATATCTAGTCTTGACCATTGCGATAAGTACAACAGACTTCCTATGGCTTATTAGACTTGAACTCTGTACCTCTGTCTGTAGTTGACATACACTTTGATTATACTTTCTCTCTGCAAACTATTGCCCACTGCTTAAATTTTTGAAATGCTTCTGTTTTGCTTTTTAGTAAATAACAAAACTCATATCTTGAGAAATCATCAACAATTACCAAAGCAAATTTGGCCCTTTCCATTAATGGAGATAGAAGACCAATTAAATCAACATGAACTAATTGAAAAAGGTCAGATTTCTTATCACTTTTTTTTGCTTACAGGGTATACTTTTGATTTTGTCTCTTTGCAAATAGTATGATTCAAATAGTTGTCACAATATTTCACAGCCAAATCTACAGTCAGGTCAAACATTTTCTGCAATACTTTAAAGCTTGCATGATCCAGCCTTCTGTATAATAAATGTGCACACCTACTATGCTTTGCTTCATTAGAAAAGATTGTCTGCACACTGCCACCAGTTTCCTTGTGGTTCAAAACATATAAATTGCTCAATTTTAAACCCTGTGTACACACCCTGTTATTCTTTATGATCTTGCAAGTACCCTTTGCAAAAATTACTTCATACTCTTCATTATCTAAATGAGACACACTCAGCAAATTGTGATCTAAATTCGATAGACATAAAATCTTATCAAACAGTTCACCAATACATGGTACATATACTAAATAATATATAATTTTATTATATATACTAAATATATATAATAAAAGAATTATTATTATAATTCTTAATTCTAAGGTTGACTCAGCCTTCCATCCTTTCTAAGGTAGGTTAAATGAGGGCCCTGTTTGTGGGGGCAATAAGCTGACTTTGTATAAATATACAAAAGTATGAAGGCTATTGCTTAACGCATTGTAAGCCGCCCTGAGTCTCCGGAGAAGGGCAGCATATAAATAATTTTTTTTAAAAAAAATTACTATTTGCCAGGCTTACATATTCCTCATCAGCTGGTTCCAGGCTGGAAAAAAAAATTGGGTTATTTACAATATGATCACTTGCCACACTCTTCAACAACCAAACATCTTTAATGTCTTTCCGGTTGCTGTCACCATAGAAATCTGTGCATCTTCCTTCTTCTGTCATTGTGCTTTCTGTCTCATCCTTGTATCTTTTAATCATCTTACTGGGCAATTTCTACAGATACGTTCAGTGGATCCACATGCAAAGCAGCATTTTACTACACAGACTTTCTCTCTCACCTTGTTATCTCCTTGGAATGTGTCGTCTTTCTGTCGGAGTTGTAAATTACTATCATTTCTCTGGTGTGCAACATTTTTCTCTAATCTTTTCTGTTCTTCTTCCAAAAGTCTCCTGGTTACATAACTCATAGTTAATTCACATTCATAGACTCAAGACTTGCTACTAACATGTCCCATGTATCATCAAGAGAACTAAACACAACATACATCTTCCAAGCACAAAAGTATGCTGGCTATGCTATTTCATTTTACTTTTCCTCATTGAGATCTGCTAGAGGATTGCTTACAACTGTCCACAAATCCTCTCTCTGCAGAAACATCTTCATTTTTAGGCTCCATGAGAGATAATTTTTGTCTCATTAAGATGAGCCACATTCCTCCTCTCATTTCTGTAACAGATAGCATCATGCTGTCTTGGCTTGGGAATAGAGGAGAAGAAAAAGGAAGGGAGCCCATTTCTGGTAGCATCACAGGAAGAAGATGGTCCTTACTTTACATCTAATGGAAAAGCTCCTGGAGGAAGATCTCCATAAGTCTTTACTTCTTCAAATGAATATGAACTGAATGAACCACTGTCAAGAAATGAAAAAAGACTCATTAAAGAAACTCAAATTGGAAAGTGCTTTATAATGATTGCTGATCATTACACAAAGTTGGATCTTGCAAAGTATAATTATTTCTCACTCCAAATTCACGTAGTAGTGTCTCACTCGAATGACCTGGGTGGGTGTATGATAGGTGTGGTTAATCAGGGTCTAAAAGGGATGGCAACAGTAGGCAAGGCAAAGAAGTAATTGAATGCTTATCAGCTCCTTTGCCAATGTTCCCAACTACTTAAAGTAAAACACTCTTTGTATCATTTCCCTTTTCCTACATTTGCTGCCAATCAACCCAAAATCAGAGATCCCAAGAGGGCCACCAAAACAAATTTCCACTCAGCCCACTGCTTGTCTCCCATTCGTAAATCATGACATGTAGAGGTGATGAAATCCTGATGTCTCTGCTAAAGAAGGGGAACAGAGAGGTAATCACTTCATTATTGGAAATTTTAGGATAAAAATATCAAAGCAAAAGAAGATTTTGCTTTCAAAAATACTGTCTTCCAGTGACAGTTCCACTGCAATAGCATTGAATAGGATTGAATCAAATGCCCAGGTAGCTAACATTATTGACTTTAATAATCAGATGATAATTTATTTTCCAACAAATTTGACTGTTTTTTTAGAATTCCAAGACATACATACATACATACTTTACATACATACATACTATACATACATACATACATACCCTTTCATAATCTATTGTATTAAAAAGTTAAATTTTAACTGTCCATCCAATCTGTTTACTTTTACCTTTTTCCTCCTGTTGTTCTTCTTTTCAATTTAACTTTTAAAGTAATATATTATATAAGTATCATTTCATTTTGAGGGTTTTTTCCCCTGGAGGTTGATAATTTGCTTGTTAAAAGGGGTAGGAAGAGGGCTTCAAGTCAGTTTTGACTCCTGAAAACAACTTGTTCTAGTCCCTTCAGTTTTCTTGGCAAGATTTTCAGAGGTGGTTTGCCTTTGCCTCCTTCCTAGGGCTGAGAGAGAAGGCCTGGCCCAAGGTTACTCAGTTGGCTTGTGCCTAACATGGACTAGCACTCACGGATTCCAGCTTTCCAGCCTGATACCTTAACCACTACACCAAACTGGCTCTCTTGATTTCTTTTGGCATTTATTTCTCTTCTCTGACTCTTTTGCTATGTCCTGTGTCTCAACATTTGAAGTTTTGGAATTAATTTAGTAAAAGTAAACAAAAAGACTTTGACATTTAGTCTAAAAGACTTTGATTAAGGGATGTTTTGCATCCTATTTCATCCTAACATATTAACAGAGTGCTGCTGTTACTCTACTTGAGGTGGACGGGAGGCTTATCAGCTGCAAAGTCTTATACTAAATATAGCTTGGCAAGGTACACTATCAAAAGGTCACTTTTAAAAATTTGTTTTCAGGCCATCATCTGCCCAAATCATAGATTCCACCATGTCTAAAGGGGAATCTTTTTGTGAGTTCCCATGGCCTTGATTATCAATAAGAGTGAGTTCTTCAACAAGATTTATTTTAGATTTTTTAAATCTCACTTTTACTGTTTTTTCATAAATAGAGCAGTGAACATATCCACAACTCTTTCTTCCTCCTATTTTCCCCACAACTATCACCCTGTGAGCTGAGTTGGGCTAAAAAAAGTGACTGACCCAAAGTCATCCAGCCGCTTGCCTAAGGTGGGACTAGAAGTCAGTGTCTTCTGGTTTCTACGCCAACATCTTAACTATTAGACCAAAGTGGCTCTCATAGTGATTTCGATTTTTTTTAGGGCTGAAAAATAGGAATAGGGTGTAATAACCAATCAGGAGATCTAAATATGATCTTTGTATTCTTGATCAAATCTTGACTATTTGTAATCTCCCGAGAGATTAAAAATATAAGTAATAGTTGTTTCTGTTGAGAATTACATTACCAACTTCCTGTCCTAAAGGTTGCAAAGCAAGTTGTACAAAGCCTCAAGCATGGGAATGGATGATAAATTGTAACAGCTCATTCTTTCGACTTGTTTTAGCTTGTACATATAAAGGAGAAAGCAGGCTGATTAGCTTACAGATTTAAAGGCCTGTAGACATTATCAGTTGTTAGAATCTTTTTAAATGTTTAATTGGCATTTTGAAAGTATACCTAATATTTATTGCAGTTATGACACTTTTTTGGAATTAGTGTTAGAATAGCCTTTAATCACTTCCTTTGGTATGAAATTGGCTAGAAGAAGAGAAGTTTGTTTCACTTTGGAACTATTAACTTCTCATATTGCCATCTTAATCAGAAGTAAATATGGTTCTATCTGGGGGGAAAAAAACCAGGATTTTTTTCCTCTACTCCACAGGAATGTTATCTTGGACCAACAAGAAATCCAGGGGGGGTGGGGAATCAGTTTAGCACTTCAGTCTTTAGGCATAATCTGTCTGGCCTAGATCATTCAAGTTCTACTGGACAGTCAGTTGCCTGAAATGGTATAATGGTCTCCTCCTTGAGCAGGGAGCTGGACTGGAAGACCTCCAAGGTTCCTTCCAGCTCTATTCTGATTGTTTGCTCCATCATTTCTAAATGTCCATTCTCTAATGTGCTTGTAAGCATGTTGTTAACAGAGATTGGTTTTTGCTCGCTTTCTAAACAGACATCTCCTATAATGACCCATCCTAGGCTTAATTTCTGGACATATGGAGCATTGTGGGGACCACTAATCTGAGGTCTTGCTTTGTGGACTTGTAAGATATCTCTTCCTAGGAGCAAAATTATCTGAGCCTGAGGATCAAGCTCTGGTATCAGGTGTGCTATGCAGTTCAAATGTGGGTGATGAATTGTGCATCTGGTGTAGGGATTTCAGATCTATAGTCAGGAATCTGGTTGCACTCAATAAGAGCTGGTAAATTCAGGCATATTTTCCATCTACTAATTCGACTTAGTAACAAGATACTAAAGTCCACAAAAAACAGAAGGGGGGGAAATGGAACATTGTACTTTCTTTTGTATTTGGAGTCCTGTGTGAGCCACTGTTTTTGTAAGTTATGGAATAATTTTTGTGCAAGGGTTGACAACTCTGGCTGTGTCAAGAAATGCAAGTCCTGGCAAATCATCTTCCAACTTAGCTTGAAGTTCTGTCAGTAAGTCATTAAGTTCCCTAAGTTTCTGATAAGGTCTGTTAGCTATTTTTGGAAAGCTATCAAGTCTTTTGAATAGTGCATTTTCTACTGCTTCTGCTGAACCATAACACTCATCATGTCTGTCCCAGATCATTTTAAGGCCTGTCACAGAGTAATTTACGTTTATTGTCTGATTTGTTTTGCATGCTATGCAGATCCAATTCTGAGCCATTTAATTATTATCTCTTCCCTGCATGACAAATCTAAGCCTATGATGGCATTTTGAAAAGACAATCACTAGGCTCTATAGCTTTCAGGGTGACCATTAAACACCATAAAAGTCATGTTGTTCCAAAAACTTGGCAAATCCTATGGTGCAGTGGTGGGTTTCAAATTTTTTTACTATCGGTTGTGTGGGTGTGGCTTGGTGGGCATGACTTGGTTCTGTGGGCGTGGCTTGGTGGGCGTGGCAAGGGAAGAATACTGTAAAATCTGCATTCCCACTCCAATCCAGGGGAAGGTTACTGCAAAATCCCCATTTCCTCCTGATCAGTGGGACTCGGGAGGCAGAGAATAGATGGGGACGGAGCCAGTCAGAGGTGATATTTACCGGTTCTCCGAACTACTCAAAATTTCTGCTACTGGTTCTCCAGAACTGGTCAGAACCTACTGAAACCCACCTCTGCTATGATGGCTTGATTATCTGACTGTGCATTGCTGTGGTGAAAAAGTATTGTGTAGTCATACCGTTTAACCGTCTCTGGTTTCAGCTGGTCCTTTCTATGCTGCTCTGGCATGAAGGCTGATCCTTAGGCTAACTTGCAGACTCAGGTACCTTGGATGTAGAGTGCAGCTTTGCTTGGAGCTCTCTCATTTGTAGGCTTGAGGCTCGTCATTGGCTTGTAGTGGTACTGTGTAGCATCTCTGGCTTGCTTCTTGAAGGTTGTCTTTTCCATCTAGGTGAGTATTGCTGCTTGGCCTGGAGTGTTGATAGATGCACTCTGAAATGCATTGCAAAGTATATTGGAGTTCAGTTGCTGCATTTGCTACAGAGGTGGGTTTCAGCAGGTTCTGACCAGTTCTGGCGAACCGGTAGCGGAAATTTTGAGTAGTTCAGAGAACCAGTAGTAAAAATTCTGATTGGCTCCGCCCCATCTATTCTCTGCCTCCCAAGTCCCAGCTGATCAGGAGGAAATGGAGATTTTACAGTATCCTTCCCCTGCCACGCCCACCAAGCCACGCCCACCAAGCCATGCCACGCCCACCAAGCCACACCACAGAACCGGTAGTAAAACATTTTGAAACCCATCACTGATTTGCTGCATTCATTGTCAGAACATACAGCTCTTTCTGGGGCTTTGCCTTTGGCTGTGACAGCTGCTACTTCTTTCTCTATAGCAAGCCACTCTAGGTTCACTTCTAACAGGGCTTCCTGCATTTCCAGGGATGCCTCTTGCTGCATTCTTTCAGATTCTTTCTATATTCTTTTGGCCTCTAACCATGCTCTCTCTTTTTTCATTTCCATTTCTTGTTCAGTAAAGGATGCTCGTGCTTTTGCTGCTTCAGCCTTTGCACTGGCAATAGCAAGTACATTACTTGCTGATGACTGTTTGGAAGAACTACAGATTTAAGACTTTGTATGAAGATGGCTAGTTATGTGACATGGTGTCTTCTGGAGGTGCTCAACTGTATGGAGACTTCTGTATTGCCATATGCAGGTGACTGCAGTGACTGGGTAGCAGGCCTCTGTGTAGTCACTACCCCAGATCCCAGTTGCTGGGTAGCCACTGTTTCACTATTCTGTCCTTACTACATGTTACTTTGTGTGCAGCTTGACATGTAACTAAACCCACCTATCCTCCAATAAAACAGACCATGTGAATAGATCTGGATGCTTTATTAAAGGGACAGGATGGGTGAAACTGGGGAAAAATAGAACTACATACAATAAGAACTCAAATACAAAGTAGGCAGTGTTGAGTTGCTGGTGGGCATAACAATTAACAAATGCAGATAAATCTAAATTTCACCAGTGATGCTGTGTGTATGGGATGTGGATTTTTGTCCTATGGTAAACATGTGTCATGGATTAGGCTGGATTCTTCCTGGTGCTTCAGTTTCTTCAGAATGCTAAAGGAAATGGAGTCTGGCTTCCCAGGATGCATTTGTTTTTGGAGTGAGGGTTGATGGGAAGATGTCTCTTAAAGGGCTAGATCAGCTTCCGAACAATACAGATTGGTATTTGGTCCCAGCCACTAGATGCGGCCAAAGAAGAACAACAGTTTATACACAAATTATATGCTGAGGGCATGGCATATGGATTGGCATATACCGTAGGTAGATATAGCAGGGATTCACATAGTTGGAGATTTGAGTTGAGCAAGATCCATGTTAAAGGATGTGCTTAACATATGCAAAGTAGTAAGTAGCAGACAGCTCCAATTAAAAATTGTTCTCAGTATAATTGCCTTGTTAGAATCTTTTTAAATGTTTAATTGGCATTTTGAAAGTATACCTTAATATTTATTGCAGTTATGACACTTTTTTGGAATTAGTGTTAGAATAGCCTTTAATCACTTCCTTTGGTATGAAATTGGCTAGAAGAAGAGAAGTTTGTTTCTCTTTGGAATTATTAACTTCTCATATTGCCATCTTAATCAGAAGTAAATATGGTTCTATCTGGGGGAAAAAAAACCAGGATTTTTTTCCTCTGCTCCACAGGAATGTTATCTTGGACCAACAAGAAATCCAGGGGGGGTGGGGAATCAGTTTAGCACTTCAGTCTTTAGGCATAATCTGTCTGGCCTAGATCATTCAAGTTCTACTGGACAGTCAGTTGCCTGAAATGGTATAATGGTCTCCTCCTTGAGCAGGGAGCTGGACTGGAAGACCTCCAAGGTTCCTTCCAGCTCTATTCTGATTGTTTGCTCCATCATTTCTAAATGTCCATTCTCTAATGTGCTTGTAAGCATGTTGTTAACAGAGATTGGTTTTTGCTCGCTTTCTAAACAGACATCTCCTATAATGACCCATCCTAGGCTTAATTTCTGGACATATGGAGCATTGTGGGGACCACTAATCTGAGGTCTTGCTTTGTGGACTTGTAAGATATCTCTTCCTAGGAGCAAAATTATCTGAGCCTGAGGATCAAGCTCTGGTATCAGGTGTGCTATGCAGTTCAAATGTGGGTGATGAATTGTGCATCTGGTGTAGGGATTTCAGATCTATAGTCAGGAATCTGGTTGCACTCAATAAGAGCTGGTAAATTCAGGCATATTTTCCATCTACTAATTCGACTTAGTAACAAGATACTAAAGTCCACAAAAACAGAGAAGGGGGGAAATGGAACATTGTACTTTCTTTTGTATTTGGAGTCCTGTGTGAGCCACTGTTTTTGTAAGTTATGGAATAATTTTTGTGCAAGGGGTTGACAACTCTGGCTGTGTCAAGAAATGCAAGTCCTGGCAAATCATCTTCCAACTTAGCTTGAAGTTCTGTCAGTAAGTCAGTAAGTTCCCTAAGTTTCTGATAAGGTCTGTTAGCTATTTTTGGAAAGCTATCAAGTCTTTTGAATAGTGCATTTTCTACTGCTTCTGCTGAACCATAACACTCATCATGTCTGTCCCAGATCATTTTAAGGCCTGTCACAGAGTAATTTACGTTTATTGTCCTGATTTGTTTTGCATGCTATGCAGATCCAATTCTGAGCCATTTAATTATTATCTCTTCCTGCATGACAAATCTAAGCCTATGATGGCATTTTGAAAAGACAATCACTAGGCTCTATAGCTTTCAGGGTGACCATTAAACACCATAAAAGTCATGTTGTTCCAAAAACTTGGCAAATCCTATGGTGCAGTGGTGGGTTTCAAATTTTTTTACTATCGGTTGTGTGGGTGTGGCTTGGTGGGCATGACTTGGTTCTGTGGGCGTGGCTTGGTGGGCGTGGCAAGGGAAGAATACTGTAAAATCTGCATTCCCACTCCAATCCAGGGGAAGGTTACTGCAAAATCCCATTTCCTCCTGATCAGTGGGACTCGGGAGGCAGAGAATAGATGGGGACGGAGCCAGTCAGAGGTGATATTTACCGGTTCTCCGAACTACTCAAAATTTCTGCTACTGGTTCTCCAGAACTGGTCAGAACCTACTGAAACCCACCTCTGCTATGATGGCTTGATTATCTGACTGTGCATTGCTGTGGTGAAAAAGTATTGTGTAGTCATACCGTTTAACCGTCTCTGGTTTCAGCTGGTCCTTTCTATGCTGCTCTGGCATGAAGGCTGATCCTTAGGCTAACTTGCAGACTCAGGTACCTTGGATGTAGAGTGCAGCTTTGCTTGGAGCTCTCTCATTTGTAGGCTTGAGGCTCGTCATTGGCTTGTAGTGGTACTGTGTAGCATCTCTGGCTTGCTTCTTGAAGGTTGTCTTTTCCATCTAGGTGAGTATTGCTGCTTGGCCTGGAGTGTTGATAGATGCACTCTGAAATGCATTGCAAAGTATATTGGAGTTCAGTTGCTGCATTTGCTACAGAGGTGGGTTTCAGCAGGTTCTGACCAGTTCTGGCGAACCGGTAGCGGAAATTTTGAGTAGTTCAGAGAACCAGTAGTAAAAATTCTGATTGGCTCCGCCCCATCTATTCTCTGCCTCCCAAGTCCCAGCTGATCAGGAGGAAATGGAGATTTTACAGTATCCTTCCCCTGCCACGCCCACCAAGCCACGCCCACCAAGCCATGCCACGCCCACCAAGCCACACCCACAGAACCGGTAGTAAAACATTTTGAAACCCATCACTGATTTGCTGCATTCATTGTCAGAACATACAGCTCTTTCTGGGGCTTTGCCTTTGGCTGTGACAGCTGCTACTTCTTTCTCTATAGCAAGCCACTCTAGGTTCACTTCTAACAGGGCTTCCTGCATTTCCAGGGATGCCTCTTGCTGCATTCTTTCAGATTCTTTCTATATTCTTTTGGCCTCTAACCATGCTCTCTCTTTTTTCATTTCCATTTCTTGTTCAGTAAAGGATGCTCGTGCTTTTGCTGCTTCAGCCTTTGCACTGGCAATAGCAAGTACATTACTTGCTGATGACTGTTTGGAAGAACTACAGATTTAAGACTTTGTATGAAGATGGCTAGTTATGTGACATGGTGTCTTCTGGAGGTGCTCAACTGTATGGAGACTTCTGTATTGCCATATGCAGGTGACTACAGTGACTGGGTAGCAAGCCTCTGTGTAGTCACTACCCCAGATCCCAGTTGCTGGGTAGCCACTGTTTCACTATTCTGTCCTTACTACATGTTACTTTGTGTGCAGCTTGACATGTAACTAAACCCACCTATCCTCCAATAAAACAGACCATGTGAATAGATCTGGATGCTTTATTAAAGGGACAGGATGGGTGAAACTGGGGAAAAATAGAACTACATACAATAAGAACTCAAATACAAAGTAGGCAGTGTTGAGTTGCTGGTGGGCATAACAATTAACAAATGCAGATAAATCTAAATTTCACCAGTGATGCTGTGTGTATGGGATGTGGATTTTTGTCCTATGGTAAACATGTGTCATGGATTAGGCTGGATTCTTCCTGGTGCTTCAGTTTCTTCAGAATGCTTAAAGGAAATGGAGTCTGGCTTCCCAGGATGCATTTGTTTTTGGAGTAAGGGTTGATGGGAAGATGTCTCTTAAAGGGCTAGGTCAGCTTCCGAACAATACAGATTGGTATTTGGTCCCAGCCACTAGATGCGGCCAAAGAAGAACAACAGTTTATACACAAATTATATGCTGAGGGCATGGCAAATGGATTGGCATATACCGTAGGTAGATATAGCAGGGATTCACATAGTTGGAGATTTGAGTTGAGCAAGATCCATGTTAAAGGATGTGCTTAACATATGCAAAGTAGTAAGTAGCAGACAGCTCCAATTAAAAATTGTTCTCAGTATAATTGCCTTGTATAACCGCAGCCCAGCTATCAATGTATGCAAGCAGTTCAAA